AAGCGAGATCGTACGCGATATGCCTGATTAGGCGGCGCGAACACTCGAAAGAGCTGCAATTTCAGCTCCACTCAGGAGGGAAACGCAGCTTCGACCGAAGTGCTACACGTCAGTGCCCATTCTCGCGCTCGACCACCGAGCTTTGAGATGGCTTGCGCTACGCGCTGTTGCTCGGTCCGGAGCATGGCAGATGCAACGACCACCCCAACCTCTCTCATCCAGAGCAGGAGATTCTCTCCATCCTTCCCCTCAAAGACATAAACATTCACCATGAGCGGCTAAGGGTGGGGAAAATCATCCGTCACCGACGATGGCGTCATAGACGCAAATGATGCAGACATCTTCTACTGCAGGTGCTTTAGCAGCGCATTTTCGTAATTTAAAAACGCCTCTCGACGCGCACCGATTGCCTCAGGGCCTTGCGTCACAAGGTAATGCACGCTTTCTGGGCCAAGCAAGGACATGAGCTTGTTAAGCCCGTCCTGCAGGGCCCTGGGGCAAAAAGGAAAATTCTTCCATCCTCACAGAGGATCAGTCTAAACGACTCAGATGTAGATTGACTACAAGTTCTATCAAGTGCAGCGGGGCTGCCGTTGCTTAGCGCTTGAGGAAGCGTAATTTATGTCACTGACCTTTCGTTCTTTACAAGAACCGATATGAGTGTAGCGGATCGCAATCCGCTACCTCCAAGAGTAGTTAGCACCTTAACCAACGCTTAAAACGCTTCGGTTCAAATTCAAACTGATTCTTATTTATTTTTATCTGCGGCAAAGCCGCCTTATTTTAAATGTTTAGATTATATATATAGTAAAAACTGAATACATGCATAACTACTGGCTACCAAGCCACATGCCGTATTCTTGATTGGGTGCAGTCACACCATGCCCATCTCTTGTGACACACCCCTGTTTCCAAGGTCCGTGTAACCCTGTTACCTATAAAGTAATTTCAACCACACGGCCGAAAATGGTCTGTTGCGTGCTCGCAGCTTGGTCTTTCAGACTGCAGATTTTGCATGAGTGGAAAGGTCACCGCACTAGAAAAAAACTTTTCACTCACTATATATGCAGCGGGGCTGTCGTAGCTCTTTGCTTAGAGAGAGCTACGCTGAGGTCACCGACCTTATGATCTATACTAGAACCAGTATGAGTCTCGTATCGCAATCTGCTACGTCCAAGAGTACCAACAACCTTAAACCAAAAGGCAAGGCAACTAAACTCTACCGCTCAAAATTTGATAGTTTTTTTTCTTATTTTATTTGTGGCAAAGCCGCCTATATTTAAATCTATAGGGTTTCCTGATTAAACAGTATAGCCTAATTATAATGCATAACTACTGGCAGTCCCACCACGTAGTGGCTTCTTGTTAGGGCGTATCCACCCTTTTGTGTGGTTACACCATCTTGTGTACACCACCCCTATTTACCAGGGTACGTGTGACCCCGTTACACCCCTCCCATCAAAACTGTGAATACCCCAATTCACATTAAACTGTCGCCTCGTACGAGGCTCGCGTGTCTAAGACAACTCTACGTCCCCAGGACCCTCTTCACACATTCTCTGCTCAATTAGCCCTGTGTCGGTGACACGAAAGACATACGACACCACTGATTCCGAGAGCGCACACGGGCAGAGCCTTTATTCGTCTTCTGTACGCAGTGCAACTTCAGACAGCACGTCCGCGGCTTCAAGAGGAGACATCCCAAGCCTTCGCTAATCGAGAGCCGCAACCGCGCCCGCCACGGGCGACGGATTACCTCGTCGAGGATTCAGAGGAAGTGGTATCATTACCAATCGCCTTGACGAGGCACAGGAATAGCAGCTGGAGGCTGCCCGAAAGGCGGCTTTGCGCGCGCATCCACGGCCGGTCCTAGAATCTCGTGTGGAATACTTCCGTAAGGCGGATCGCGCTACGTAGACATAGGACGCGATCACTCGATGGTTGGGCGTCTACGTGGTCGGTACCCGGCCACTACGCAAGCTGAGCTTGACCAATGAAAGCTCCCCGAGCCCGCTTCCTGGTATCTCAAGAAATCTCAATGGATATGTACCGCGCTCGACTTCGCGCTTAAAGAGGAGGCGCTCTTGTACCCACAATGCGGACGATTCCTGTGGTGCTTGCCCCTGGTAAAACCGCTGCAGATGATGAAGAGCTCTTTGAAAGATGGGTGCAGCGGCACTGGAAACAATTCTCGCTGTCCAACATACAGCGGAGCCACCCTCTTCAGTTACAGGCGACTGCGTCGACGATACTATCAATACAGATGTGCGCGCTTTGTCGACACTTTTTGATGTTGTCGACCGAATCGTCTGACCACCTCGTCAACGTAGTAGGTCCGCTTGATCTTGTGTGTTTTGGCTGACCTGTCGATATCATTCTCCATCCAAAAAATATTTTTTCTTGCCCAACTTCTTCAGCTAGAGTGTATTTTCAGCCTCCTGGCCTTATTTATCTCCATGCTTGTTTTTGCTTCGACGATCATGTCATCCACATATAGTCATACTTAGAAATAACCTTCCAGTGATCGTTTGACATGAAGGCACTTGTCGTCACCCTTAAAGCTATTATTTACAAATATACGATGTATTATCCTGTTTCAGGCAGCACTGGTCTCCACCCTTACATCTATAATTTACAAATACACAATATATCATCTTGTTTCATGCAACTGCTTTTCTGCTTGTTCCAAACCGTAAAAATCCTTTTCAACCGACATACGTATTTCTGCATATCATAGACACTCAGTGGAACTTCCATATAAACATTGTCTCTCTGCATACTGTGAAGAAAAGTAGCATCGACATCGAGTTGTACATTTTGGTAGTCGTATCCGACCCACTTTTAAAATTCCTCCAAATACAATGCATATTGACGATGGTGGAAGAAGTAAGCGAATCTAAATCGATTTCATACTTTTGCTTGAAAATCTTAGGGACAAGTGGTGCCTTATACTGCACAACATGCCATTTTGATCACGATACTTGTCAAAGCTCTATCGTGATCCAATTGTACAATCTTTTTATTTCTTGGCTTTAACATCCATGTTTGGCTCTGATCCTTGGAGCGCAGCTCGACTTCTACGCCACTTCACTGCATCATCACTTGCCGTTGCTTGAGCATATGTAGTCGGCAAGTCCGTACTATCCTCATTTATCACCTTGTACGCAAGCAAGCCATCGGCAATGAGTTCGTCTTTGTTAATCATAGCACTATTTGGTGTCGCCGAGTCATTACTTTCTTTCGCTGCTCTGCATCATCTGAGCCACTCTGGAGCATAATCATCGGCTCATGCCTTCGACTTGTAGCTCCACTTCAGGTTAAAAAACAATTGCTCTTCATGACCCGTATGAGAAAATGAGCGGTGCTTTGCTAGCTTAATCTGATTTCACCAGAGCGCTCGGAAGCACCAGCTCATGTATACTGACACTCGGCGTACAATCAAAATCGTCCTTTCGATGTCTGCAACTGCTTTTTGACAGCTTTCATAGGTTCATCTCAAAGTCGCTTTCAATCCACTGGGTTACGAACATTATCATTATCACTGTCCTTTCAATACCCGAGGTCCCATCTGGCTGTAGCGCATGCATATCGTAAATGCCGCCTTCACCCGGCTCATCCCGCCTCAAAAATCGGGACTTGGCATTCTCCAGGTTATCACGCGATCAACCTTGCTTTTTTCGCATAACCGATGAACAAACATTTTATGCTCTCGAGTTCGAGCTTTTACCTTTGCATCATCACATGAGCGTAATCCTAAATTCGAACGCGCGTAAGTGATCAACCCGAGGCTTCATATTAAGAGCCATCTAAGATGGCATGATGTTACGATGGGCTGCATTCGCTGAGCGATCAATAAAATAGACTGCTGTGTTCACTCCTTCCATCCACCATTCATTTAAAACTGTTTTGCCGTTCAGCATACAACCGACCCTTTCCATGATAGTCTTGTTCATGCACTCCGCCACCCTCTTTTGCTATTTGTTGTTTTGCTGATGGCTATATGGAACGTAGCATTGAAATACGATGCCGCTACGATTGCATATCTCTACCATTGTTTTGCTTACTAAGTCTGTCTCGCTGTTGGAACTTAAGCATTTGAGAAAACACCCCATCAAAATTTGTAAAGAGTTTTAAATTGTCTGAACTTGCGTAATTCTTTACTCTCAGTCTTAATCAAGAAAATCGCAACATTTTTTGAAAAATAAATCACAACAATGTGAATGTTTTTTCCTCCTCTCTTCAAGGAAGCCCCCATTGGATTAATGATATCTGTCTACACACACGCTCAAGAATTGGTGCCATCCTTGTCATCGATCGTATCTAAATACCGTGACTATTTACTTACCCTTCAAACACTCTGCACATAATGTTCTTGCTTAACCTTTGAGACGTCTTTGGTCGAGCAGTGTGCTTCAAGTGAAGCATCCTTGATTAGGTAATCTATGCGAGCATGCCAAAGCTCCTACTGAGTTAAGCCCTGTATATTCCACGTAACACGCTTCTTCCTGCAAACAGTCAAGAGTCTACGCTTAACCGAGTCTTGAACCCTATGCAGTCGCCTTTTCTATGTTTTATATGACACACGTAGAGCTAGAAAGTCCACACTCATACCACGGTCCACAAGTTTGCAAACCAGCAACATTCTTTAATCAAACCCTGTGATATCTAAAACATCAATCATTCGAGCCCCCTTTCCATTGCAATTGGGCAATTTAGGGCGCCAGTTCCTTTGACGAGTAAGTTTTACCTTCGGCAATTGTTACAAAAATACTTGCCTCAAGGTCCTTGTATTAGAACAAGTCTTTTCTGTGAGATATTATTTAAGACGTGGTGCTGCTGTGGATAAGCCACTGTAGCATTCGTCTTACCCTTCTCCAACTGCAAATTCCGCATCATCACTGCTGACACGTCTTCCAGCCGGTCAGTTTTGCTTCACATTACTAAAGTGGCTACCATGAAAACAATTGTTTTTGGATCCGCCGTCATTGCGTGTTGCCTCGTCAGCTTCCGAAATTTCCAGAATTAGCATTTACGCGGAAAGCTTTATCCGTTGTCTCCTTTCCGCGCAGCTTCCATGATTCATCAACTTGCTCTTTCATTTTCTGAAGACCCCCAAGTAGCTCGTCAAAAGTGTCGATATATTCCGCCATGCTAGTACCGCTTTCTACACATAAGTCGTAAGTCATTGCGTCATCGCTACGCGATTGTGCAGAGTTTAAGCGATAGTAATAACCACATAGCGTTTCCCATGCCTCCATGACATTCTTGGCCGGCCGTATCTTGATTGATGTTGGGCCTTGCGCAATAATACCCAATGCCTTGGCTTCGTTCATAAAACGCGTCGCTGTGATATCGCTCTCATCCTTGACGGCCGTGACATGCTTTAGAAGATCCTTCCTCGCCAGGATCAACATCTTATTGAACTCCCAGCGGTAGTAATTACCCTTTTCCACCAGGACTTCCGTACGCTTGCTTGGCATCGTGGGCACAGACGTCATAGTGAAGGAAGCGGCGATTAAGCTATTGATTTTTTGATAGATACAGAAGTAAAAAATATCATGCTCGGTTTTTTTCTCATTGCCATATTTATACCAAATCACTCTGCCAAAATAATATACAATCTGGTCAGTAAATCATTAAGAAATACAGTAAATCTTGGTACTAATTAAGTACCCCACCGTAAATTCTGAAAGACCGTCAAGCCTCAATCATGATGTGTATTCAAACCGTCAACCATAAATCGTGAATGTGGTGGCTACACATACATGATTGAGTGTTGACGGTTGTTACGTACATGCATGTTGTTTATAAAGAAGATGGTCCATCTATGCAGTGTTGTTGCTTGCGTTACAATGCAACTCTTAGCGTTGAACCACATTAAGCTCGTTCTCTGTACGAGCAAAATATTGTACTAATGCATGAATTTTAGACGAATTGCCGTAACATCATAGACTTGAGCGGCTTGATCTCTACAATGTTGAACTTCACGGTTATTAACTTCCCCGTGTTAATATCACTTTTCTTAATATTGAGAGTGCATCTGAGATATTAATAATATCATGCTAGGAATCATGTCTTCAAGTGGCCAATTGAACGAAAAGAAATACCGCGGAACCTACCGGAGCATTTCGCTGTCGTATTTTTTCCTAGATAATCCATATTTGATACAAACTACAGCTTAGATACATTATCTGCACCAAGATCTAAATGACACGGATACCAATACAAATAAAAGATCATTCTTATTGTAAATCTGTCCACATTTTGCAAAGACTCTTCTTAGCGCGTTGTCAGCTACAAAACTAATAAGTTCTATCAGAAGACCTATCACTTTACAAGAAGTACACGCTATACAAGCAGAAGCAATTGTTGTATGAGAATTTAATGGTGATATTTCATATTATGAATCGAGCAATGCTATTTTCGTCATGAGAATCAAATCACCAATCTATACCTACTCACGAAAGCAATGTTCGCAAATACAACCATTGCTAGAACATTATTCACAACTCAACGAAATGAGTCTATGACTTTTGTGGTACTTTCGGCTGGCCATGAGTCACGACTCCTCCACTAGATGATGTAGCGACCAGATTCGTTCGAGCGAGCTCACTCGAGAAGAATCCCCGCTCTTCCAGGCTTTCGTCAGAATCAGATTTGCGGTTGGCAGTCTCGACTAACAGTCCTGTCGTGATGGTGCGAGCCTCGTCTTCGTCATTTAAGCCATCGGAATGGTTGGTTGATGATAAAGTACGTCAATGTCATCGGTTGCATAAGCTAATTTGATATTGGCGCAGAAAGCGACTGCAACTGCCACAAATGTGTAGCGGCCCAGAGTCATGATTGATATGATTTGTCGAACCAGCGTAGTATTGGTATATTAAGCAGTGAAGTGGCCCTATTTCAGTGCTGGACTTGTTGGACCCGAAGCAAATTGCAATGTATGAAGCTTGCTCGACCTAGTCCAAGAATTTAAACTATGTATTTCCTGTCGTTAATGTGCAAGTCAAACAACAGATGATTTTATTGTTTAAGGTTTTGTCACTTATTTAATCATTATAAGCACTGACGTCATGGATAATGAAGCATCGGACCCGAAGATGTATCTAGTATTTAAATCATCTGATATATAGCATGTAGTGTTTTATATTTCATATCTTTTCACTCCGTGTTGGTTTCTCAGTGTTGGGCATATTGCATCTGCATCGTGTTATTTATCTGCGATGTCTTCGAAATTTTATATGAAAGAGGAAAAGTTCAACAATAGTTTTCACATTTCAGGTTATTGTAAGAAGTGTCTTAGAGGTTCGTGTGATAAGACAAAAATTGGGACCATTTCGGGTATATTTCTTAGATATTACGTATTGATACAAACTACGTGTAAAACACTTTCAAAGAATCTTCTTACCGCGTTATCAGCTACAAATATTCTACGTTCTATCAAAAGATCTATCATTTTACAAGAAGAACACGCTGTACAACCAAAAGCAATTGTTGTATGAGAAATTAATGAAGAGGAGTATCAATTCACCAATCTAAACCTACCCACGAAAGTAAGATTCGCAAATATCTAACCTTCGATAGACCTGGTCCACGATTCAAAGATATGAGGCTATGACTTTTGTGGTACCTTCGGCTGGCCATGAGTCACGCCTCCCCCGCCAGATGATATAGCGACCAGATTGGTCCGAGCGAGCTCACTTGAGGAGAATCCCCGCTCTTCCAGGCTTTCGTCAAAATCAGACTTGCAGTTGGCAGTCTTGATTGATCCCCTCAACAGTCCTGTCATGATGGTGCGAACCTCGTTTTCGTCATTTAATCCATCGGAAATGGTTGGCTGATGATAAAGCACGTCAATGTCATCGGCTGCATTAGCTGATTTGATATTGGCGCAGAAAGCGATTGCAACTGCCACAAATGTGTAGCGGCCCATAGTCATGATTGAGATGATTCGTCGAACCAGCGCAGAATTGATTTATCAGACAGTAAAGTGGCTCTAAACTTAGTGCTGGACTTAAGTGACCCGAAGAAAATTGCAATGTGTGAGGCTTGGTCGACAAAGTCCAAAACAGTATAACTTATAAACTCCAATTGGCAAGGCAACGCTAACACAAACAGCATAAAATATCTATCATTTATGCTCTTGTAAGGACGTCATGGATAATGAAGCGTCAACGAAAAAGGGGACCGAAAATGTATCTAGAATCTAAATCATTTGATATCTTATATGTAGTGTTTTATAATTCGTAACGATTTACTCCGTATAATTTCTTAGCGTTTAGCATGTTGCATTTCGTATCTGTCACCGTGTTAATTAAAAAATACTTCAGCGATGTCTGCGAGATTTTTTGTAAACGCTCAACGATAGTAAAACATTCAGGTTATCGTGAGAAGTGTCTCAGAGGTACGTGAAATACAGAAAGGGGAGTGATATCTATAATATTTCAGGTATATTCGAGGAAAGCCAGCGAAATTATTTTTGGGTAGTATTATGAGTACGAATAGGATGTAAGTATAAAATACCTATAGATAATATGACTTATAGAAATGTAATCTGCTGGTCACTAGATACCAGACATTAGATACTTCGTATCCAATACTCAGAGACCTAGAATAAAGGATACTCACTGCTAAAATGCTGCTCAATTTTTGTAACTATCATTGAAGTTTTCTGGTTTCATACTAGATGTCAGTCGACAAATACTAAATACTAGATACAGCACTCAATTTCCATTATCGTCGATACTTATAATCAATAACATCAGTTCAAATACGTGAAAAGAGCTTTGATGATAGAATTTGTATGCTGAATGCGTGAGCGTTGTCTTGATATTACCGACAGGTGGTTCATGGTTTTTTATTTTTGGACGTTGTCGAGCAAGCCTCACACATTGCAATTTGCTTCGGGTCCCTTAAGTCCAGCACTGGTTTTAGAGCCACTTTACTGTCTGATAAATCAATTCTGCGCTGGTTCGACAAATCATCTCAATCATGACTTTGGGCCGCTACACAATTGTGGCAGTTGCAGTCGCTTTCTGCGCAAATATCAAATCAGCTTATGCAGCCGATGACATTGACGTGCTTTATCATCAGCCAACCATTTCCGATGGCTTAAATGACGAAAACGAGGCTCGCACCATCACGACAGGACTGTTGAGGGGACCAGTCAAGACTGCCAACTGCAAATCTGATTTTGACGAAAGCCTGAAAGAGCGGGGATATTTCTCAAGTGAGCTCGCTCGAACTAATCTGGTCGCTATATCATCTGGCGGGGGAGGCGTGACTCATGGCCTGCCGAAGGTTCCATAAAAGTCATAGTCTCATGGCTTCGGGTTGTAGATAATGTTCTAGCAATGGTTATATTTGCGAACATTATTTTCGTGGTAGGTTTATATTGGTGATTTGATACTCATGGAATAAACAGCGTTGCTCCATTCATAAAATGAAAGATCATCATCATTAAATTCTCATACAACAATTGCTTCTGGTTGTATAGCGTGTCCTTCTTGTAAAATAATAGAACTTTTGATAAAACGTAGAATATTCGTTGCTGACAGACGCTAAGAAGAGTCTTTGCAAAACGGGTAAAGATTTACAATAAGTAAGATCTTTTATTTGTATTGGTATCCGCCTCATTTAGATCTTGGTGCTATATATGTCTTTAATTTTATTTGTAGTTTGTGTCAAATACGACAGAGAAATGCTCCCGTTGGTTTTGCGGCAATTCTTCTCGTTCAACTGGCCTCATGGGCTTGAAGATATGATTCCTTGCATGATATCATTAAAATCTCAGATGCACTCTCAATATTAAGAAAAGTGATTTTATCACTAGGAAGTTAAGCTCAAAATTGTTGAGATTACGCCTATTGAAAAGAACGATGTTACGGCTGTATGTCTATTTTTTATGCATTAGTACTATATTTTGCTCGTACAGAAAAAACGAGCTTAAATTTGCCTGGTGGTTAACGTGCATTGTAAAGCAAGCAACAATACTGCATAGCTGGACCATTTTTATAAACAGCATATACATGCAGGTAGCAACCGCCGGGTACTTAATCAGTACCAAAATTTTACTGTACTCCTTAACGATTTACTGACCAGATTGTATATTGTTTCGGCAGAGTAATTTGGTATAAATATGGCTATGAGAAAAAAAAACGAGCATAATATTTTTCCAATTCTGAAATTATCATTTGATCAATAGCTGAATCGCCGCTTCCTTCACTGTGGCGTCTGTACCCACGATGGTAGGCAAGCGTACCGAACTCCTCCTGGAAAAAGGGTAATTGCTTCCGCTTGGACTCCAATATGATGTTGATTCTGGCGATGAAGGATTCTCAAGCATGTCATGGCAGTCAAGGATGAAAACGATATCACAGCGACGCGTTTTATGAACGAAGCCAAGGCATTGGGTATCATTGCGCAATGCCCAATATCAATCAAGATACAGTCGGCCCTGAATGCCATGGAGGCATGGGAAGCGCTATGAGATTTCTTCTATCGCTGAAGCTTTGCACAATCGCGTAGCGATTACGGTGGCGGGATATATAGATGGCTATGACGGACTACTTGTTAGTCTTCAAAAAAAAAAAAGAACAACTTGATGAATCGTGCTAGCAAAAGCCTGACGTCGAATTAT